TCTGGGTCCACACTGATGCAGTGCGGGATGATACGATGTCTGCAATGTATTTGTCGGATCTTGGCATAGCTCTTTGTCAGCGCTTTGAATGGCTTGGAAATGTGGTTGATATCAACCAGGGGAGAGAGATATGTAAAGCTGCTGTCAGGATGACTCCGGAAGGCGACCCAGCCAAGCCTTCACGGCTGAACAATCTTGCCAGTTCTTTGAGCCGTCGATTTGAGCGGCTTGGTGATCTCACTGATCTCAATGAGTCTGTGTCCACATTCAAGGTTGCTGTCAGCCTCACTCCAGAGGGCCACCCAGAGATGCCTTCACGCCTGAACAATCTTGGAAATTCCCTGCTCACTCGCTTTGAGAGGTTTGGTGATCTCAATGATCTCAATGAATCCGTGTCCAGCCATGAGGCTGCTGTCAGCCTTACCCCAAAAGGCCACCCAGACATGCCTACATGCCTGAACAATCTTGGAAATTCCCTGCTCACCCGCTTTAAGCGGCTTGGCAACCTCACCGATCTCAATGAATGTGTGTCCAAGTTTGAGGCTGCTGTCAGCCTCACTCCAGAGGGCAACCCAGGCAAGCATTTATGGCTGCACAATCTTGCCAATTCCTTGAACCATCGATTTGAACGGTTTGGTGATCTCACTGATCTCAGTGAATCTGTGTCCAAGCGTGAGGCTGCTATCAGCCTTACTCCACAGGGCCACCCAGACATGCCTACAGAGCTGAACAATCTTGCCAATTCTTTGAGTCGTCGATTTGAGCGGCTTGGCGATCTCACTGATCTCAATGAGGCTGTGTCCACATTCAAGGCTGCGGTCAGCCTCACTCCAGAGGGCCATCCAGACATGCCTTCATGGCTGAACAATCTTGCAAACTCCTTGCTTGCTCGCTTTAAGCGGCTTGGCGACCTCAACGATCTCAATGAGTCTGTGTTGACATCCAAGGCTGCTGTCAGCCTGATTCCAGAGGGCCACCAAGGCATGCCTTTATTCCTGAACAGTTTGGACATTCACTGCTCACTCGCTTTGAGCGGCTTGGTGATCTCAATGATCTCAATGAATCTGTGTCCAAGCGTGAGGCTGCTGTAAGCCTCACTCCAGAGGGCCACCCAGCCAAGTCATTCTGGCTGAACAATCTTGGAAATTCCCTGCTCACTCGCTTTGAGCAGTATGGTGACCTGACTGATCTCAATGAGTCTGTGTCCACATTCAAGGCCACTGTCAGCCTCACTCCAGAGGGCCATCCAGCCAAGCCTTCACGGCTGAACAATCTTGCCACTTCCTTGAGCCGTCGATTTCAGCGACTTGGTGATCTCACTGATCTCAATGAGTCTGTGTCCACACTCAAGGCTGCTATCAGCCTTACTCCAGATGGCCACCCAGACTTACCTTCATGCCTGAACAACCTTGGAAATTGTCTGCATCGCCGCTTCAACAGGCTTAAGGACCCTCATGATTGTGAGGAGATGCTGCTCCAATATAGCCGTGCTGCCTCCTCCCCAACTGGTTCAGCTCAGATAAGATTTCAAGCCTCTGCAATCTGGGCACATTATGCCCAAACTCACCAGCCTTCATCTGTTCTTCGCGCATATGCCACAGCCATTGACCTTGTGCCCAAAGTGGCTTGGCTTGGCCTTTCTATAAGTGATCGACATCATCAGCTTTTGCAGGCAGGCCCAATTGTGAGGGCTGCTGCATCGGCAGCAATTAAGGCCCATGAATACAGCAAAGCCGTGGAGTGGCTTGAACAAGGTCGTTCAGTTATCTGGGGCCAGTTCCTTACCCTGCGTACTCCAGTAGAGGACCTCCACATGGTCCATCCCAAACTTGCATCTGAACTCATTGCCATTTCAAACCTGTTGGAAACATCTGGTACACAGAGTGGTATAGAGGCAGCCAGCTTTGGGCCCTCACAATCACTTCAGGCCACTGCACATCAATATCATGATCATGCTGTTCAAAGAGACAAACTTCTCCAGCAGATCAGAGGCTTGGCTGGGTTTGAGCAGTTTTTATTGCCAAAGCCAATTTCTGAGCTTTCTGCTGCCGCAAAAATTGGCCCTGTTGTCCTGTTAAATACCAGCAGCTATGGCTCTGATGCTCTAATCCTTGTCCCCAGTGCTGGGGATGGAGTTATGCATGTGCCACTCCCTGATTTCACACTGGATCAGGCACAGCATTTGACTGAAGCCCTGGGATCTCTAGTGAGAGGAGCTGCCCGCAGTGATCGGTTGGATGCTCACCGTGAGGATGAGTTGCCACCAGACGAGAAGTTTTCACGCATTCTCTCTGCACTCTGGATCAAGATTGTTAAGCCTGTTCTTGATGGACTTGCTGTGATGGTAAGGCATGTTGACCAGATGAAGTAATTCAGGTTCTCATATCTAGCATAGAATCCTTCATATCAGGATCCCGGACGTATATGGTGGTGTCCCACAGGGCCACTTGCCTTTCTCCCCATCCATGCAGCAGGCCACTATGGCCAAGAGACAGCCTTTGGCTCAAAGTTGGCTGACTTTTTCATTTCATCCTACACACCATCATTGTCTGCTTTGATTGAAGGCTTCCATGCCAACCAGGAATCACAGGATGGACTCCAGCTCCTCGTTGTTGCCCAGCCATCTGCAATTGGACAGAACCCAATTCCTGGAACCATCAAGGAAATTGCCTCTATTGAACAACTTGCCCAAAGAGCAATCCCAGTGCTGCGTTTGGAGCGGGACATGGCAACTCTGGAAAGTGTTCAAAAAGGGATGAGGGAATCTCGCTGGGCACACTTTGCATGTCACGGACTACAAGATATTTTCACTCCAACAAACAGTGCCCTCCTCCTTGCTGGAAGTTCAAAGTTGACACTTTCAGACATTATCCAGCTACAGCTCCCACATGCTGAGCTAGCATTCCTGTCTGCATGTCAAACGGCCACTGGTTCCAAAAATCTTCAAGATGAATCAGTTCATCTTACTGCGGGCATGTTGTTGGCAGGATACCGTGGTGTCATTGGGACAATGTGGTCCATAATGGATGCTGATGGGCCACAGGTTGCAGGTGATGTTTATGCCCACCTGTTCAAAACATCACCACCAGACTCCACAAGGGCAGCGGAAGCACTTCATCTTGCCGTGCAGAAGCTCCAGAAGTCAGACGGTGCTGGAGGAACAAAATCATTTTCCCGCTGGGTGCCATTCATACATGTTGGGGTTTAATCTGGGTGGTATGGAGAGGATGTGTAGCATGTATGTAGCCTTGACCTCTTTAGGTTTGCTCAATTTTCAAGTTGTCATTTGTCATTGTGGAGCTTTACATGATCTGGTGGGGGACACCATAAGTTATTGGGGCATTTTGGCCAGATATTCCCCATTGAACTAGATGTTTCATTTGCATTCATTTACAGTTTCATTCCTTGCCATCTATGGCTGATAAGATTAGATAAAGCGGGTAAGGCCGACAAGCAGCACAGCCCGCTAACTTAATTCGGGAGCAATGCAACTGCAGACGAGGGTGCGCAAAGTGTATCTATATATATAAGCAACCTCCTGTTTCGCCTGCCTGGATCTGATGAAATTGGAGCTGAAACAAGATCTTTTAAAACAAAGTGCATTAATAATAGCACCCCTCTACAATGAAATTTCGGGAGATCCCAGGTTAAAATGGTGAGCCATATGACTGCATGGCTTGATTCTGCTACCAGACCTTAGCTATGTGGGTGGAGCACTGGGCTGGTCCCAGCATGGTGGTTGGATTATTTACAGATTTTAGTTGAATGGGTGATATAAATCCATGAGGGAGACCCAATTATCTTTGAATGGACAAGACAGTTCTCAACGTGGCCACCGCACAAGCATGGGTTCAGTTCTCTGTCTCCCGTGATGTTTTATAGGGAAGGACATGAAAATATCAGTCTGGTTAATGTTGCTGTCAATCCCCACTCAAACGGTGTGATGCGGACTGCGGTGCTTCAAACTGCCAGATGGTGGGGAGATCCAGGCTATGTTTAAATGCTCGTCCTCTAGGGGGAATTTGTTCTGTTGCGGTAGACAAGTACGTAGGAGGCTTTAAATATTATTGGTGGGGATAACCGTACAAGGATTGAACAATTCATTCAAAATCCTGCTAGCTAGGGTGGACCGAGCGAACTCTGAAGCCTAGTTAGCCTTCTCGGTTTAACGGAGATTGAATCTGTTCTACACTTCCTCGGGGGAGGAACTCCAGAAGGTGATGCGGAGTCCAATTTGTCAAGTCCAAGGTGAAATATGGCTTTAGGGGGCTTCTTGGACCTTGAACCACGGCCTTCCGAAGTATATTTGGGTTGTTGATCGTAAGACCGGGGGAGTTATGTGTTTGTGGTACTGTTCCCACAGATTTCTCCTCCCTTTTCCCCTCTTTGTGCCTCTATGGAGTTTCCTCTCTCTACTTCCCAACCTGTTCGCTTGCTGAAGGCAACTTCCTGTGGGCTCCGCACCGCCAACTTCCTTAGCTAGCAGCTACACACAAACTCCAAAGACTTGTTGTGCCGCTTGAGAGATTTCACTGCCCTACTGATGTAGGGGAGGAATAGAAGGTTTGATGGTCAACGTTGAACTTATGCCAAAATGAAACTCCGGTCGCTGTCTGACGGCGGCGAAGGAGTACCGGAGGTCGATTTACTGTATAACTTGACTCCAGGTGACCTATAGGTGATGTTTGGGCGGTTCTTTAGCTACTCCTAAGCTGGCTAAGGCTTAGAAGCTGAGAATGTGGGCCGAAACTGAGATGATATTTTGCTAGACAAGCTGTAGTATTTATACCCCCAGCCCGAGGCTGTGCCACGGTTGCTCCTCCTTTGTGTCCCAAATCCTGCTCGCTCACATGCGAGCTCGCTCATGACTCACTACGGACCCCGGGAGGCTATGTCCGCACCGTACTCTTTTAGACTCCGTGGTCCAGGCTCGCCCACCTTAACCTCGGACGTACCTTCTCCGAGCCTAGCATCCCTCTGACCTCAATTTCACCCATAACAGCTCGATAGCGCAGAGGTAGTGTGCTCTGCACTGTTCACCCCAGTGTTTGACCATTTCAGAGAGACCCGGAGTTTGATTCTCCATCGAGCCATCCTCTTGCGCGATCCACCTTTTTCGTCTATTCGGAGTTCCCGTCGGTCCTTCAGATTACAGGGCTTTCATGGCTCGATGGCATAGCTGGAACGCGTCGTGTCTTAATGCTCTTGCACAAGCGCCTTTCGTGGGAAGTCCAGAGTTCAATTCTTCGTCGAGCCATTCCTCTGTTCCATCCCTTTTTGTGCCAACTATCGGACATTCGTACCGGTTGTGCTCATGGTCCGATGGCGTAGTGGTAACACACTCTGTTCACGTAGCTGGCGGGAAACTGAATAATAGAGGGTCTGGAGTTCGAATCTCTGTCGGGCCTTGCGTTTTTGTCCATCGAGGATTTACGTTTGAACGGCTCCGTGGTGTAACAGTATCGCACTCCGCATTCCTATGTAGTTCGTGGTATGCTTTTACAGAGAGTTCGGAGTTTGAGTCTCCGCTGAGCCATTCCCCTATTCCTTTTGCTACTTCCACAAGATCGCCACTTGATGCCGCCTGCGGATGGCTTTCCCTAACAGCTTGGTGGCATAATTGGTAATGTGTTCCGTGTCTTTCTAAAACCCTTGTATATTGTCTGACGGGAGTCCGGAGTTCAATTCTTTGTCAAGCGATTGGTGGGATCTGAGTAATCTTTTTAACTCGGAGTTGTTTTGGCATTATTCCTCGATTCTCGAGTGGCTTGGTGGTGTAGTGGTAACGTGCTCGCGTCCGTTGTAGCGTTGTTATATTGTTCTTGGTGAGTCTGGAGTTCAATTCTCTGTCAAGCCATTGCGTCAAAAACATTTCTTTTTGTTGAACGGTGATAAGACCGGGATTTGCCTAGCAGCGCAAATAATGTACTAGCTGCGAATGATAAGTCGAAGGTATAAACCAACAACTAACAACCACCAACTACCACCTATCCACTATCGCACTACTCGAAATCGGACCAACTAGTCGCAGATGCGATTGGCTTGTAAACCCCCCAGAACACACTGGTGAACTGTATAAACGCGATTGAACAGGTATAAACTTGTAAGAACTTCCAGGCCAATAAAACTTCCAGGCTCAATGTATTGTGACTCCAGGCTCAAATGTTTAACTTCCAGGCCAATGTACTTCCAGGCTCAAATGTTATAACTTCCAGGCTCAGATGTTTATATCAATCCAAAGGTATATTCACACACTATAAAGCAGACTCTACTGAGCAATGCCTTAAGGCGAACAGAGCACACAATCTACCAAACAACTAGTTGTGACTATCTTCTAGCCTCCAACCAGCTGTCGGTGTGATTCGCTGCCGTTCCCTCTCGAGCAGGCGCCCTTATATACTGTTTCTATATATGATTACAAACGATGATTACGCTACTAGCTGATAAATAATATATGAAATGAGCACGCAATCTGGAATATCTTGTTCCCATAACCTCTATGATTGGTCGAGGGCCTTCCCACGTTCGTGGATGACTCCTCCTTGCTGATATACAGCGGCACCATATGACTCGTAGCTCCGATCCATCGGGATTGAGGTGCGAAGGGTCATACTCCAAGGTATACAGTGTTCAGGACACCTTCGAAGTGTCTTATATTGTTTTAGGCTTCCTTCCCAAGTCTCATATGTACTTTATACAGACTTAGGTGCTTGTTTACGGCAGTCGAATATCGTTCCGGAGTCTTCCGATTGATATTTGATTCCGTCAACGGAGTCATCCGCGTCCGTTCGGATCCGATCGAACCGGCTACTTGTGTTCCCGGAGCCTGGACCCTTCACGTGAGGTGTCGCGGCGCGAGGATCAGTGTCAACATTGTTAAACATCCTGTCGTATGACTATATATGCCGTTCTTAGCATGTATACAGGGCTCGGAACCCTTCCCCTTGGTTGGGAACCGACACTAAGTGACTGATAACCCTTGGATACTGGGCTGCACTGTTTTCTACGGGGTGTTGTACCTCAGTACAAGTTGTATATAGGCCTCAGTATGGAGTACCGTTATACGAACATGCTTCGAAGCTCCCCTAAGGTGTCCGACGTCCAATGACTAACTGTTCGGGCTCACAATAGTCCTTATACAGATATCCTCAGCATATATGGTTATGATATATGCATAAAATGTGATTTTCACGGCCAGATTTGTACACTGCTTATCAACGGCTCGGTGGCATAGTGGTAACGCATTCCGAATTCCTACACAGGTGGTTTGTTCTCGGAAGGTATGGAGTTCAATTCTCCGTCGAGCCATGTCTGGATAAGGTGGCATCTTTTTATTACACGTTCTGAGGTCACGGAGTGGTCACTTCTTCCTCGGAGTTCGGTGTTTTGAGGTCACGTCGGGAGCTATCACAATGTGATGGCTCACAACGGACAGGACATTATGCCTGAGGATATGCTTGCCTGCGATTTCACTAGGTGCGTGCCGCACGGATTGTCAAAGATAGAACAATCAAAATAAAATTAGCTGTGTTCCTCCATTTCGAAAGTCAATGATAGTTCTGCTGTATTTATTCAGCTAAAGTAAGATTCAACCTATGAAGCATTGAATTTCTGAATGCGGGGTTTTTTAGTTTCACACCGGGCAAAGTTTGGTTTCATAAGAGCGAAAGTAGTCCAACCGTGGGGATCAGTAAGGTCGGGCACCAGGACTCGAACCCGGGCTACTCCTTCAATTGACCCGCAATGGAACAGAGGGAGCGAGGGTGCACCGCACACCACACCCGATTTCCGAGCTCAGTATCGCACCTGAATATTCTGGCTACCTTTTAACTAGAAATTCAACCATTCCATTTTTCTATTTGCCCAGGTGGTGGCCTGAATTTTAATGCATTCCTTTAATATCGAACAGATATCTCACGGGCCTCAGCGCAAAACAAGAAAAACGGAACAGAAGGTGACTCACGACTCGGAGGCCAGCCAAAAAGAAGGTCAATCGCGGAGACTGAGTTGGGGCGCCAGGAGTCGAACTGCCCTGAGTACCCGTTATCCGGTTTTACAGATGGAGAGTGTGCACGGGCCACAGTGCACCGTACACCACACCCGATTAATTGCTCCCTGTCAGTGCTTAATAAACCCCTCATCATTTCAGACACTCGTCAGCGAAGAGCAGCGCAAGACAGTAAAAAGGTACATGCTGGAGGATCAGTTCGGGCACCAGGAGTCGAACTTGGACTTCTCCCATCACTCGGTGCAACACGGGAAGAAGGAGGGGCGTGCGCAGTAATTCCTTCCTCCCTTTCAGCGATCAATAAATCCCCTACATCTCCATCAGGAAAAACCTCCGTTCCAAAATTACCTCCAACTTAGGGTAATTTGGGTCCTGCTCACCGAAATGGTCCAATCCAGGGTAACTGGGTCCAAGCTCCGGGAACTTTGTGCGGTTAGTTGCATTTCCTCAGTTACCGGGAAGATTTAAAGGAATAATATAGATGATTTCTCGCAATCACTGCAACTAGACATTACACACAACTCTATGATGTACGGAGATTGACACGGCTTCAAGGCGGATTCCATCACGATGTTGTGCAATTCCATGATGTTGGAATGCAGTGTCTTTGGTGGCAGAAATGGCGGGGATTGCTTTGAATATTATTCGCAGGTTCCTGGGATATGTCTTGTAACGGGCAGGGATGGGATCGCAAGCGCTTAAGATAGCTCTCGCAAAATGGCCAAGTTAATCAGGGCCAGCCCTAAACCCCGATCACCGCATCACCAGAACACGTGAGCGCGAAAGTGGTTCGTTTTGATGGAAACGACAACAACGTCAAACATTCCTTTTCCTTTCCCCTCATCTTCTCCCCCGTCCCTCCGGTCTCTCCCTGCGCTGACGCCTTGCGCGAGGCCATATGAGCGCCCCGTCTACCTCCCATCCTCGTTGTCACTTCCTGCGAGCTATAGAAAGACATTCCTGCTCGGAGATGGCGACGTGTTGGCCACCGTAGGCCCTTATTCTCTCCTCAAGGCACCGCTGACACCTGTGCAGCACTTCCAGGCTCCGCGATGCTGTCGCATCCCGTACTTCTGGCGAATTCTCACGCACACCATTGCGAGACTCCGAGCACCCCGCTCACATAGACAGGACTACGATGGCATTCCATGCCACACCGCGAGAGAGCAGGGTACTATGTGCGTGCTTGCCCCCACGTGCTTTTCTACACTGACGCTGACTCTTCAGTCACCTCGGCATCTACTCGATCTTCGCGGGTACACGCGAGACATGCGCCGTCTCTAGGCCGTGCGTTGCGTCCCAGTCGTACTCGCCGTTGCGTGGTACGTACATACAGTACGTGTCCCCGCGCAAGCGCTAACATCTAGCCCATGCCCGCGGCTGTTGCGCTATGTAGGATCTACTATCCTCTCCATCGACTGGCGAGTTGCAGGCATCTTGTTTATGAATCTTTGATTTTCTTTCTTAAATTCTTTCTGGCCATTGCAGGGTCGTGATCACGGATACTCCATGCAATTTTTCTCAGGTGTGTATTCGCCACCCCTTCTAAACTCCCAGGACCACCCGTCCCGGTCCTCGTGTCTGCTGTATGGGAATGCTCGGCCTCCATCCCGTTCCCCAGAATCAAGGAGTTAGTAAATATTTCGTTTTCATGTTCCGACCCACGACCAATGTTGCACCCTTAGTACCATTACCGTCAATCGGCGCTGACCGCTTTTCTCCATGTTTCCCACCATATTTTTATCGGTGAGCCCATTTCTTCCTTCTATAGCCATTTCTAATGACCGCTATAGAAACCGCCACGACGAGAGTAGTGAGGGGTGGGATGAGGCTAGATACAACCCTATTGTACCTACTTACCTCTATTGAATTCATTTTATATCTTCTCTTCAATAATATGAGGGATTGGATGACCCCAAAGCAACCCTAACGGATGGAACAAACTAAGGAAACATCAGGTAATTTGGGGGTAAATTGGAGGTAAGTTATTTTGAACGTTACTAGCAGGGTAATTGAACTAATGGAAGACATTCGGCCCAATTTGGTCCAAGTTTGCGGCAATCCTGGGGAATTGCCAAGGGAGGGTTTTCCTGATGTCACGAGCCCCCAGCAGAAAAAAAAAGGTTCCAGACATGACTCAGGTCGGGCGCCAGGAGTCGAACCTGGACTGCTCCCTTCAACATTCCATGTCGTCCTTCTAGGGAGCGAGAGCGTGCGCCTACACCACGCCCGAGTTGCTTTCTCCTGACTTCTCTCCTCGATATTTTCTGGTACAGCGGAAAAGGAGGGAGCGTGCAACGTACACCATGCCCGACTTCCTTCCTCCCTCCATTCTTCCCCGACATCTCGTGGGCTGGCAGAAAAAAAATTAAAAGAACTTTTGGGAACCTCGGAATTCGGGTGCCAGGAGTAGAACCTGGCTCTCTCGATATTCCATGCTATCATTCCAAGGAGCGAGAGCGTGCGCCTATACCACACCTGAGTACTCGCTCCCTTTCAGCCCTCAATAAACCTCATGCATTCCGAGCCTTACGACAAAAAATAGCAGAAGGCAACGAAGTTCGGGCACCAGAAATCAAACCTAGTCTGCTCTCTTTAACATTCTAAAGTATCTGTCTAAGGAGGTTTATTCCCTCGATAAACCCATGATCATTTTAGACGCTCGTCCGCGAAGAGCAGCGCAAGAAAGTAAAAAAGGTACATGTTCGAAGACAAGTTCGGGCGCCAGGAATCGAACCTGGGCTTCTCCCTCATACTTCTTGCCACAAGTCAAGAGGAGGGAGTGGAGTGTGCGCTCTACACCACGCCCGATTCCTTGCTCCCTTTAGCGCGTAGATATCCTCTACACCTTCCATCCTACCTGACTCTCATGTTGCAGCAAGTACTCAAGAGTCGTGGCTCGATGCTGCAGAAACCCCAATCTTAGCGGGGAGAAAAAAAACGAGCATATTTACTGCAGTTTGAGGACGAGGATGATGAGACAAGCACAGCCAGCTGCTGGGCTGGGAGGAATAAAAAGAAATTCCGCGAACGAATTCGGGGGCCAAGAGTCAAACTTGGACCGCTCCCCTCGATGCGTAACAAGACGTGAAGGAGGGAGCATGCGCCTACACCACGCCCGATCCCTACCTCCCTTTCTCACCTGAATATCCAGACACATCTCGTCGGAGTTTAGGTCGCAGAAGACGTTGGATGTGCTATATATGGACGCAGCCGAGAAGCCCCACCGCTCCCAAATAACCTGAACATCGGAGACTCCTCACTAGCTGCTTTCTCCGCTCGCGCGCTTGAAATATGCTCGTTGCTCCGAATAAAAAAGCCGATAGATGAATACGTAGTTCGGGCACCAGGAATCGAACCCAGTCTACTCCCATTCAATCATTCTCGGCAGTGAAAAGGAAGGGAGCGTGCACAGTACACCACGCCCGATTAATTCCTCCCATTCCTCTCTCCTGATAATCCCCTTCCGTTCAGGCTTCGCAGCCAAAAAGGTTGAGAAAATGTGTGTGAAGTTTGGGCACCAGGAGTCGAATCTGAGCCACTCCCCTCAAATTCGTTCATCTTAGATACTGGAAAGGGAGGGAGTGTGCGCCGTACACCACGCCCGGTTCCTTTGCAGTACCTGAATACCGCAGACACAATTCATTTCACTCCCTTGCGGTTATGCGCGAGACGTCAGAGCACTGCGGAGATTTACAGAACAATATTAATCCAAAGACCCACAGAACAGTCCGGAGACTCATAGAACAGTCCAGAGACTCGCAGACAAGACCACCAGGAGAAAGCTCGTGCGGAGACGCGGTGAAAGTTCGCGCGAAGCCAAGAACGAATGAAACACCGGCGGACCGCGCATTGCAGTGTCACAGGCAGCGGTGTCGCTCATTCAATTGGCGGAGAGACAGCCAAAAAAAACCCGATATATACAGACAGACGACAACGGCCCCATGTGTAGTAGCGAAGTGGAAGAGGAAGGTAAATCGGTAGATGAGGTAAGCGGAGAAAGAGTGAGAAGTCGCGAGGAAGATAGGTCGAGAACGCGCGATCGAGCAAGGGCATGATGGCCTTGAGCGAGGGGAGGTGAGATGCGAGAGGAGAGGAAGCAAGCGCAGAAGTAAAAGGAGTGAGTACGTGTAGCAGTCCGTCCGAACGTCGAAGCGGGAGCGGGAGGAGGTAATCGATATCGAAAGCGAAAACGATCCGGGTGGGTGAGGCGACAAGGTATGGATGGGTGAAGAGGTGTGTACAGATAGGGGAAGAGACAAACAGAGAGAAGAGAGAAGGAAGGAGGAGGAAGGGAAGATAAATACGAGATACGCGCAAGCGATAGTGAGATGGACCAAGGGAGATGCAGACGACTTGGAGCAACGAGGAGGGGAGGAAGATGTAGAAAAAGAAAAGGAGCGCAGAGATGAAACGAGGGAGGGCATGGTAGGGAGCGGTGCGCGATCGGTCGGCGAATCGAGCAGAGCGGTCAGCGTACGTAGGACGCGGACACCGGTGCGGATTTTTGGGTTGGCAAGATTGGGAGTGGGATGTGGATGCAGAGGGGTGAAGACTGCTGAATTGCGAGGAGGGCTGGCGGCGGCGCAAGATTTGAATGATAAATCAGATTGCGCGGATGATTGATATAGCACTGGAAGATCGAGGGGTAGGCACATCTGTAGTAGATGAATCAGTATCAGTGCCGAGCCCAGGCTGGACAGCGGCACGCACCTCCTCCTGCGATGTGCAGCTACGTGCAGCATCACAGCTCACGACGTGAAGCGGCGCTGCACGGCGGGGCGGCGCCACGAGTGCTCCCACTCGATGAGCGCGCGGGCGAACCCGGGGTCCGGCTTCGCGCAGGCACGCTTGCGCTTGACGAAGGCGAGGGCGGCGTCGTAGTACATGGCGTGGTTGCGGATGAGGTACGCGATGACGATCGAGGGCGAGCGGGAGACGCCCTTCTCCGTGTATCAGTACACGAGAAAAACGAGGGAGAGGTAGATGGGGGAAGAGAGAGGAATAAGACGAGACACGCACCTGCTGGCAATGCACCAGCACCCCCTTCCCGCGGCGCAGCGTGCGCTCGATGTAGACACACGCGGCCTCGAGGTGCGGGCGCAGGTCCACGCTCTCCTTGTCGCGGATATCGATGCTATACACGACGAGCCCGTCCTCATTCCGCGCGGGCGGCGCCTGCACCAAGTGTGTGATCCCGTGCGCGCGCAGCAAAGGGTGGTCGTTCACCGCGCTCAGCGAGCCGAGGTACAGCCTGCCGGACATCGGCTGCGCCCCGTGCGCCTGGGAGGAAGAAGAGGTGTACGGCGCATAGGGCGAGGCGGCGGACGGGTGCGACGAGGCGGGGGCGGGGGCAGGATCTGGCAGACGACGATTGACGACGACGCTGATTGATTGCTGACTAACACACCCGATTATCGCCGCACGCCCACGAGACGCGCGCTGTGCCTTGCCTTGTTCCCGCTCGAGCCAAGTATAACACGCCCCGCGTCTCTCTTGGGTGGAGAATTATGCGGCTTTTGCTCGAACGCTTTTGACTTTTGGCTGTTGCGATGTAACTTGAATGCTTTCCTGGTGCAAGGGGTGAGCGATCTCTGGATCGTGGAAGTTGATGTGTGCACGTGAGCCGCAACTGATTGACATCGGAACACTCGGACATCTCCGATCTCGGCAAGCGGAGGTTGATTTTCGGTGTCAAGAAAGGGGGGTGGAGGAGTTTGGGCTATGCGGAAGGTGGATGTCGACGCGTTTTGCCAAGATGTTGACGCGTTTTGAAGATGTAGACGAGCCATTTTCCCAAGATAGATTTCGATTATTTGACAATGGGGCATGTGCAATATTTACATGGTTACTAGCCCTCCATCGCTGTTGCTGCAGATTGGCACTGGAACGCACTGAATGGGTTAATGGGATGCGACGCGCGTCGCGTGCAGTGGTGGTCAGTTACAGGTGTTTGGCAGACTGATGGCCGAGCGGACGCCGCTGACTCATACCTGCCTTATTTGGGGGGTAGGTCCCCCGTGGGAATATATCCGTGATAAGGAGATCGCACACCTCTTGTCCTGGTGGGTAATGCTCTGCTCTGGTGGTTAATATTATACTGTGGCGCAAGCCCTGAAACGTCCTCACCCCGCCCAACTCGAAACAAAGCCAGGAGCCCAGTCACGCCGCAGAGTTGTCAATCTGCCAGATACTAGATCCAGCCCCGAATCGAACGGGATCACTCCGCTGAACTACAATGCTTCTTTATAATAACCGGCGGACGTGCTCCGAGCACACCGAGCCTTCCCTCACCGTCTGCTACGCTCCTCTTGGTCGATGTTTCGGGCGGCGAGAGTGGCAAAAAAAAAAGACAAGATCGATATGGCTCGGGCCTGAGTCGAACAGGCGTCCCGCTCTACATTGATCTTGTCAAAGAATATCCACTGGGAAGCAGATGCGCACCATGCGCTACCGAGCGACTCCCCTATGGCAAGTCCGCCTTATTCGATCCATTTGGTCGTGAGCTGACCAACTTTGCGGCCAAGTTGAACTTCCGCTGCATTAATTCTTCCCGCGCGCAGTCCAACGGGATGTAGATGTGCACCACGCGCTCCCGGGCCGTTCCTGGCACCGCGGTACGTCCCTTGATGCTTCTGAACAGCGAGACTAAAAAAAAATTGGGCGAGACCTTGTTCATGGCTCAGCCCCGAATCGAACGGGATCATTCCGCTGTACTGTCACTTCACACTTCGACACTATGTGCGGACGTGCTCCAAGCACCACCGAGCCTTCCTCTTGTATCTGGCATGCTGCTCATACCCAAGGCTTTTCATCAATTGACCGACATAAAAGAAAATGAGACCATCACACGGCTCAGGCCTGAGTCGAACAGGCCTCGTCTGCTCACCAATACGAATGGGAGGCAGATGCGCACCGAGCGCTACCGAGCCTTCCTCTAGCGTTTTGTAAGCCCGGCTTATTCAATACTTCGACCGTGGGGCTGAACACAAATTGCGGACTCCCCGAGACTTGCTCCATATGCATTGATTCCTCATGCTCAATCGAATGGAAAGGAGATGCGCACCCTGCGTAACGGAGCCTTTCTATGAAGTCCAGACTATGAAGGGACGAGAGCGAGGGGGGAAATATAGAGGCAGAAGGCACTATGGGGACTAAGAACAAAAAAGAAAAAGGATCCATCTATCCGCGCGATACCCATGGCTCGGGCCTGAGGCAAACATGCACTCTCTCCTTATCGTCTTCTTTCAGTTTGTAAATTTAACAGATGCGCCCGCGATCGAGCCTTGGTGAGCATCCCAGTAAGCTCGTTATACCTAAACTTTCCGAGCTGTGGGACTGAGAGAAATATATATATATACCAACAAGAGCCATCGCTCGGGCCCCTATCAAACAGCCTCCTCTGCATTAACCTCTCCCACATCTTCAGTTCAAATGGGATGCCTGGCCAGATGAAAATTAATTCAGAAGCACGCCTGTTCGACTCAGACCCGAGCCATGAAGCTGCACTGGGCGGTTTTTTAACTTATATCTGTTTTTTTAAAATCTGTTTCAACCAATGGACAATCAGCAGGTATAGTGGGTTTACCAAAGCGGAGGGAAGGCTCGGTAGCACGCGGCGCTCTGCATCCCATTACGTGTACAGAAAGAACAGCTGTTGCAGAGTGATGCCTGTTCGACTCGGGCCCGAACCATGCTCGTCCTCTGCCCATTGTTTTTCCCTGTTCAGCAATCCAAAGCCTCAAGTATGTGGAACGTACCAAGTGGAGAGGAAAGGCCCGGTCGCGCGTGGCGCGCATCTGCATTCAACAAGCTGGTTTTGTAATTGTAAGCAGAAGTCAGCCTGTTCGACTCAGACCCGAGCCATGTTCTTCCACAGTGGTTCCTTTTTAAAAATTACATAATTGCCTCACTGAGAGGACTGAAACGAGAGCAACGTACCAGAGCGTAGGGAAAGGCGCGGTCGAGCGCGGTGCGCATCTGAATTCAACATATAATCCTCAGCTTGTTCACAAGCTGTTCGACTCAGGCCCGAGCCGTTCACCTTCCTTTCGGATTTTTTTCTCCTCAGTCCCACAACTCGGAAGTGTAGGTATGAGGGGCTTACCAGGATGGAGAGAAAGGCTCGGTCGCGCGTGGTGCGCATCTGCCCATTCTATGGCTTCCATCCCAAATTGAATGCAGAAAGTGCCTGTTCAACTCAGGCCTGAGCCGTTCAAATTCGGTTTCCCTTCGCATTTTTTCTCCTCAGTCCCACAACTCGGATATATAATCATTGTCTTGGTTCACAAGCAGAAGCAAGCCTGTTCGACTCGGGCCCGAGCCATGCTTTATGGTAATACGTGTTCTTCTACCGACGCCAATGAAGAAAATATACTCGGCATAATGAGCTTCCGAGGATGGAGGGAAAGGCTCAGTCGCGCGGGGTGCGCATCTGCATCCCATACACAAGTTTTACAGAAGCTTCATGCAGACAGCACCTGTTCGACTCGGGACCGAGTCAGGTGCATTCTGGTTGGCTATCTTTTATTTGAGTTTGGCCCATTGAAGAATGTGGAAATCAGGAGCGCACGAAGGTAGAATAGAGAGGGAAGACTCGGCAGGGCGTGGAGCGCATCTGCATTTTATTACGGAGAGACAAGGAACAGCTGTTGCAGACGAAGTCTGTTCGACTCAGGCTCGAGCCCTGTTGCGATATCCATCACTCTTTTTTTATCTGTGTTGATTGATGATGAAAAGTGTTGGGTATGAGCAGCGTACGACTTGAGAGGAGACTCGGTGGTACTGGGATCACAGTTCAGCGGAGTCGTCCCGTTCGATTCGGGGCCGAGCCGTAGTAATGTGCTTGTGTCGAGCTTTTTCAAGTTCTCGGTCTTGCCGGTGAAAAAAAACATCGAATAAAAAGTGCATACCACGTTATGCAGAAAGGCTCGGTCGCGCGGGGTGCGCATTTGCTTCCCATCACAAAGTGAGGTTGAATAAATCACTGCAGAAGGTGCCCGAGCCATAAGCGCTGTCTGACGCTTTTTGTCAGCCCCGTGGATTTGAGGGCTTCAAATAACAGAGAACGCCTGTTCGACTCAGGCCTGGGCCATCCTCTTTTTCGTAGCTAGATTATTTCTCAGTCTCGCAGCTCGAAAGCATCGAATAAGAAGTGCACACCAGGTAGTGAGGCAAGGCTCGGTCGCTCTCGGAGCGTATCTGCATCCCATACACAAGTTTCACAGAAGCTTCATGCAGGCAGCACCTGTTCGACTCAGGCCCGAGCCATGTGTTGGCGTCAAGTTTTTTTATTCAGCACCAAGAGTAAAGAAGCTAAGTATGCGGAGCGCACGAAGCCAGGAGGAGAGGCTCGGTCGCGCGAGGTGAGTATCTGCGACCATTTTAATGTCGACACAGGAGATTAATGCGGAGAATGCCTGCTTGACTCAAGCCATTGTCCTTTCCTCAGCATTTTTTCTTCTCCGTCCCACAACTCGGAAGTAGGTATGAGGAGCATACTAGGACGGAGAGAAAGGCTCGGTCGCGCGCGGTGCGCATCTGCATTCAATATATAATCAGCACCTTGGTTCACAAGCAGAAGTAAGCCTGTTCGACTCGGGCCCGAACCATGCCTTGTGATAGTAGCTGTTCTTCCTTTTTAGATCTACCGGCGCCAATAAAGAAAATGTTGTTGGCATAAGGAGCTTACGAGGATGGAGGGAGAGGTTCGGTAGCGCGTGGTGCGCGTCTGCATTCTATGGATGGAATCGTAATCAGCTATCGAGCAGAATGTGCCTGTTCGACTCAGGCCCGGGCCACTGGCATGGTCCCACAACCAAAAATTTTTTATTTCCGCCCTTCATAAATAAAAGAGTAGAGTATAAGGCAGATACTTTATTGGATGGAAAGGTTCGGTCGCGCGGGGTGCGCGTCTGCTTCCCATCACAAAGTGGGGTTGGATAAATCAATGCAGAAGGAGCCTGTTCGACTCAGGCCCGAGCCCTTTGCCAGTTCACGATCGTTTTTTACTTTTATTTATTTTAGAGTCTCACGCAGGGGTATGAATGACTTACGATGAGAAGCAAGAGAGGCTCGGTGGCGCGTGGAGCGCATCTGCATCCCATCATTGTGCCGTATTCCGCACTAGTGCGGAGAATACCTGTTCGACTCAGGCCCGAGCCATACACATGCTGTCTGATCTCTTTTTTTTTTTTTCAGTCCCACAACTTGACTCGGAAAGGGTAGGTATGAGGAGCGTACCAGGATGGAGGAAAGGCTCTGTCGTGCTCGGAGAGCGTCCGCAGGTATATAGGGGTGAAATCAAGATTAACACGCAGCGGAGTGATCTCGTTTGATCTGGGGCTCGGTCATAACTGAGTTCTTTCCGTTTTTTTCCTTCTCTATCTGTAATGCCTAAACTGATACAAAATGTATGAACATGTGGAATGCGCTGGGATGGAAAGGAAGGCTCGGTAGTGCTCGGTGCACATCTGCATCCCATATGGTCATTCTTGACAAGATCAATGCAGAGGGTGTCTGTTCGACTCAGGCCCGAGCCGTGCCCATGATCCCCCCGGACTACCTTTTTTTCCTCTGGCTGACCTACTACTCCCGCCAATTTGAGAGGTCGAATAACAACAGCGTAGCAGAAACACAGGAAAGGCTCGGTAGCACTCGGAGCGCCTCTGCTTCCGATAAAATGTCGGGGGAGAAATTAATGAAGAAGGTGCCTGTTCGACTCAGGCCCGAGCCATGCTCCGGTTGCATCGATATAATCAGTTTTTTTTTTGCATGACTCGCGCAAGGAGTAAAATAGGTATAAAGAGTGTACCAAGGCGCGAAGGAATGCTCGGTGGTGCTTGACGCACGTCCGCATCCGTAGACAGGTGCACTGTTGCCAGCTCAGCGGAGTAGCCACCTCCCGCTTAGTCGAAACAATGCTTTTTTTGTTGAGTTGTTCAGTGCTCGCAGCTCGAAAGGAGCACACCAGATACAAGAGGAAGGCTCGGTGGTGCTTGGAGCACGTCCGCACGCAGTATTTTTGGTCCAGAACAGCTGTTAGACGGAATCATCCCGTTCGGTTCGGGGCTGAGCCAGTGCGAATGAATGTGTTCTCTTTTTCAGCTAGCACCGCCCGAGAGCATCGAATAAAAGGAGCGCACCAGATACAAGAGGAAAGCTCGGTGGTGCTTGGAGCACGTCCGCCGGTAATTATTGAGACGCGTTCTGTAGTTCAGCGGAGTCATCCCGTTCGATTCGGGGAGTATTGTGCTTGTTTCGAGCTTTTTTTGCCGGTCTCGCCGGTCAAGAACATCGAATAAAAGGAACGTATTGAGATAGAGGAGAGGCTCGGTCGCGCGGGGTGCGCATCTGCACTCTTTTTTTGTCCGGTATTGAGTCCCAGCACCGCAGCGGATGCCTGCTCGACTCGGGCCCGAGCCGTGAACCTGAACGTGAAGAGTTTTTTTTTTTCAGTCTCAAAACATCGAACAAAAAAGAGGCACACCACACTGAAGACAGGCTCGGTGGTGCGTGGAGTACGTCCGCCTCTCGTGCACAGGTTGTGTTACAATTACAGTCTCGCGGATGATTACGTTCGATTCGGGGCTGGGCCATGCAAAAGCGTTTCTCACTTTTTTTTTTGTTCATTACATAAATTGTTTTTGAACCCAACCTGCGAGAAGAATGTGAACCCAGGTAAGTAACGAGAGGCCTGTGCTGAGACAGGCTCGGAGGGCCCTGGTGCGCGGCTTGTCCAGTCGTATGGTGGATTGATCCACGGCCACTCTGCCTGCCAGCCAGCCAGCCCCTTGATGTGTTTCCAGTTGTACAGTACGAGTACGTCTCAAGGCACCAGGACGCTGCAGTATTATTATGACCCCAATAGAAAAGCTTTACCCCAGAGCAGAAAGCTAAAAGCGAGCGGCCGCTGCCAGCTGCCGGCCCGCGC